AATGGGACAAATTCTTTGTGAAATACTTGTACCCATCTTTCACCCCAACAGTTGCCTTGTTTCTTGCTGGAACAGTTGCATATGGAGTGGCCAAGTACCTGCAAAATGAGAAACTTAAAGAGCAAAAGTGATGCTGCATGAGAATACTCTCTTGTATTTCTGAATTGTAAAGGAGACTGCTGATCAGTACAATCATGCAAGCATTTGTATATTTTTCTAACGCTGTGTGCATTGTTGTGCTTTCCTTGTGGAGAGAATAGTATGAACAGAGAAGAAAAGCAAGGAATTTTTCATGCAAGGAATGTTAAAAATCAACAATTTGGATCTTTCAGTAGCTCTCTCTATGTCATAATTAACCACTGAAGCAACTGCAGTAACTTTGTTTTTTCATTTTATGCAACTCCTCTTCCTCCTATCATATGTTTGGTTTCTTTAGTGTATTTTAACTTTTGGGAGCATGCAGTAGTCATTTATGTTGATATTAGAACTTTACAAATAGGATGAACATTGAAACTAGCTCTTGCTTGAACTGATGATATAGCATCCGACTCTTTTTGTGATTCATCTACTAATATGCTTTTCAATGTTTTAGAAACTGCATAGATCATTCACTAATTAGAGCACTAATTTTCATCCTGTATGATAATGTCTATAATGCTATATGAGATGTACATACTACGTAGTTTTGTTGTCATTCTATATAAACAATGGAGATGTTGCCTAGTGGATATCTGTGTATAACTCATCCCTTAATTCAGGTTTTTTGCTTGATATAGAGATACTGCAGCAAAGATAGAGTGAAGGACATGCATGATGATTGGTCAGTTCTCATCTTCATTGTACATCTAAATTTCACGTGATTCTACTTTGCATTATTTACTTTGAATTTAGAATGTCACTACACTGCTTCTCACCTGTCATGGTAGGCAAGGAAATTGATGGAAGTAAATTTTGATCTAAAGTGGATACAACTCATGGTTGCGACTATATTATGTATTCAGGATTCATTTATTTGTTCTAGATTTTTGATATTTTTGTTTCTGTTTATGATATTTCTGCTTCTGTAGTGGCCTTAACATTGGCACATCACAGTTGTCTGTGGAAGCATGCTTTGATGCAAAATCCTTTTCTTTTATTTTCTTGATTTTGATAGTTTAAGAAATGTTTGCAGTTGGCTACAACTAAAAGTAACTTCTTAATAATGCAAAATCAAGATTTTTAGATCTTTCAACTACATATTTTCCATTTGGAGGCATGCCCGTCAATCAGCATATATACGATTCACCTAGCCTACGTTGAGTTGGTAGGAAATGGACTCATGCCTCATAGTTAGGTGCATTCCCTAGAATGGGAAATCCTATCATGGAGTTACCCTTTAGCCCTGTGAACTCATTCACTTCAACTTTAGGACCACATTATCTGCCTAACCGGGGAAGAAGAAATAAAGAGGGGAAGAGAAAGAGGAAAACTGTGACCTAATAATTACGGCTTTTGTTTTTATCCTATGATGGAGTTTTAATGTCCCCTTTTTTACCTTTCTTTTTTTTTTTTTTGGCTTTAGCAATGAAGAGGCATCGTATTCCTGTTTTCTACTCAGTTATAAACAATAAAATCGACAGGTTAGACTACTGCTTATCTTCAGTTGTCTGAAGCTGTCTTTTATCATCAACTGACTTGTGTCCAGGCTATATACATATATACATATATATATTTTTAAAGCATATTTTCATTAAAAGGATCCAATAGATACGGCTCAAGCTATGCTCTTTTATATAGGCTAAATAGAAAAAATAAAAACCAACAAGAATTTAATTAAATTAGTACTCATTAACTTTAAAATCTTGATTTGAATTCAAAATTAGAAGTTCAAATCTCTATAATGTTAAATAGTTAACTCTCTGATATACGCAAAAAGATATAAAAAATAAAAATACTAGAAAGGCCCTATTGCATTAATACAAATAAATAATGCTCATGACATGTATAAACAATTAAATGGAAAGAGTCTTAAAGTATAAGCAGTCATTATAGGGTATCAATAGGGCTATGTAAACACATAAAAACAGCAGTTGTCATAGGATATCAAGAGGATATATAAACACATAGAAAGTGACCTATTGGCTTTTCTATCACCTCTCTAGCAAACCACACCTATTGTACCACCCTTTTCTAATACAAATCATGATTTTTGGGTAGAAGCTTAGCCAAAGACCATAACCATGTTGCCAACAGCCAAAGAAAGTATTGTCAAATCGAACTCATTTGGCCTCAAATCTACTTTGTCTTTATTTTCTACCATGGTAAAATTTAATGAGATACATCAAGAAAGCCTTGGTAAAAATTTTCAAAAAAGGATAACAATACCTCTTTGAAAGAGAAAACCCTTGAATAGGAGACAATCCCACCTTTATTAATTCGTCCTACTTAATTAATCGCCTAGAAGGATAGAGACATTGGCGAGGGGGAAAGAAGAACCAAGAGAGGAGGAAGAGGATGAGGGCGAGCGAGAGCCACTCTTTGTCAGTTAAGCTAAGATCTTTATGAGGGTCTTTATGAAGTTGCACATTACAAGCAAAATTTAAGTTCCTCTTTCTTCTTCCTCCCTTTTTTTTTTTTTTTCTCTGGTAAGAAATTATTATGCACAAATGAAAGCAATAGCGGTGACTTGCATTTGAAATGTAGAAGCAGAAAAAATATAAAAAAACTTTTCTGCTGGATGATAGCACCTTTGCCCTTGTCTAAATGTCCTCATCACAGTTTACTGTGGAGGAGAGAATGATGTAGACTCAGTTACACCTAATTACTTTGCATTGATGTAGATGCATTAACTCAGAAGTCAGAAGTTGCATCCACCAATTAAAAACACAATGAAGAAAGGTTGATGCTATACAATACAAGATCAGTTAATCTACAGGTAAGGAAGAACTAAAAGTTGAAGTTCCTAAAAGCCTTAAACTAGTATAAGAATAAAAATGATCAGGATGCTTAGACAGGATTATATATGTGTGATTCATGATGAATGCCTTAAGAATTGAGAGAAAACTATACATGTGCATTTGCATGTGTTAATTTTTGCAATGTCCATACTTCCATTTGGCTTGGAATGATGAATAATATTGCAGTATAGTAGCCACACATCATCAGATTTATCAAAGTTCATGCTTTTTTGTCTCTTGTAGTACATCATGAGGATCATCTTTTCTGGACCACCAAATCGTTAGTTCTTGGCATACCAGTTTATGTTTCTTTTTCAATGCAACTACATGAAAGTAGTGTGAAAATTGGATGATCTTTGGCCTTGAAGACATTAGAGGTCCCCTCTTTTCATTATTTCTACGCTTCCCTTTTCAATGCCAATCAATTTGCACCAAACTTCCCAGATCTTGTCTCCCCCGTTTTTATTGATTATCAATCCTCCAAAGGCACCATACGGTAATTCTTTAATTTGAACAACACAATTATTTTTTTTTTCAAAATTTCAGCACAATTGAATTTTCTAGCCTGGTTGCCATTTTCACACGCAACCTGATTTTTTCCTTCTCTTCTTTTCTTTTCACTAATTCAAATTAATTTGGATATGCAATTGCTATTTCTCATTGATTCATTCATGAAAGTACACGTTTCATTTCTTTTGTGACATACACAGACTAAAAATGATGATATGAATTTTAAACTTTTTAAGATCTTAGTCTGTCGTTTAACTACATTATCAAAGAGATTATTAACTCACACATTTCACAACTAGCTAGATTACTATAATGTAGTAAACACCCACAAATAAACATCATATAAATTGTTTCCTTGCATACATGGAACTATAGTCAATGGCATTACTAAGGTGATCGAGAAGCATGCTTGGTGAAGTCATGCCCCAAAAGATTAATGGGATCCAGAACAAAAAGTTGATTATCTTAAGGAAGAGAGAACAAAGCTGTAGAGCATATGGTTATATTATATTAGCAGAAGAGGTTCTTGGGTCAAAAATCAAAAGGGAAAATGGACCAAGCAATTGCTTTTCTGCCAATGGCTATCATTGCAGAGATTTATGTGACGTAGGTTTTAAGATATATGTTTTAATGAGTAAGCTAGGTAGGATTTTCTCCCCTACTATGATGGAATGGATAATTAATGATTAATGAAAATGAAGTGTGAGTCTCTTTCTTTCTGAAACTCATAAAAGTCAAATATGAAAGCCAGCTGATTTTACCATTGCACCTCTGGTTCTTTGAAATTTTCTAACTTAAAATTATCAGTGGAATTTTGGGGCCTCCTCTTGGTAAGAAAGCGTGTATAGGATTTTGGATGCTCCTCTAACTCTAAGCACTAACCATAAATTAATCATAAAAATGATTGTAATCCTTAAAGTATACATATAATTAAAAGAATTTTTTAATTTATATTTTTAAAATATCTATTAAAAAAATTTATAGTTAAATAAAACAAAGTATTAATAGAAATGTACAAGAAAATAAAACCTTTGAGAGGGAAGCGGTTCCCCATCTCTTCCCTTCATTTTCTCCTCTCCCCATTTGGTTTTCTCGGATTTTTTTTTTCTTTTATAAATTTCTCTATAAGGATTCTCATCTCCCCTAAGGGCACGTTTGGTTGGTCAACATCTTGAGAAAATATTTGCAAAGAAGCCAAGTAAAAAAAAAAAAAATTAGCTGGTTTTGTCTTAGATTTTAAGTCCTAGAGTAATTTGTTAATGAATAGATTTTGAATCTAAGATTAATTTCTTAATTTAAGATATACGTGTTATATTGTCCGGAAGTTGCTTCCTAGTCAAAAACTTCAAAAAAAAAAAAAAATCTTTCTAGATATATAATCAGTTGAAGCCAGCATATAATTGACTATATTAATTATAACCACTTATACTTTGTGTTTAAACAATTATAACTACTACTTGATTTTTATGCTGAAAACATACATTTCCTGGACCAAGCTAGCTCGAAAATCTTACACGGGTACACTGCTAATACTTTCCTGGAATATCAACAAACCAAACGTGCCCTAGAGGTTAACTTTTGTGGGATTCCACTTCTTTAGATATGGTCTGTGTGGGTTGCACCAATATTGTTATTCCCTTCTTGATGTGGAGGTTAAGAGCAGAACGTTGGTGATCACCGCGTTGCATTAAAATGCTTTTGTAGCGGATTACTTGAAGAATTACTTTTTCATTTATTGGGTTAAATAAATTTGTGACTTTCATTATTTTTTTTTTTACCAACCATCTGTATTTAGAAGTTATTTTAACTCTCGACTAATTTAAAGTTGAGTTGTGTCGAATCCCATACAGAAAAATTCTTTTAACACTTGTTTTTCCATTCACATTACTCAAATTTGAAACCTTATTAAAGGAAATTTAATTTTTTCTACTTAGATTAATAAGTTGTTGGTTGTGACTTAACTATTAGATCTAAATTTTAATTCTACTATTATATTTATGCAACTATTAAATTACTCAAATTTTATAGTATTTTTTACATACTACATTGTATAAATCGATTTATAAAAGTATATATAATGAGAAATAATAAAAAAAACTCACTTTGATATTATATCATCACAATTAATATTATTTTATCTAAACTTATATTTATATATTTAATTTTTAAATAAAATACTTAACCAAAAAAGTCCTTTCTAATACATAGAGTTTCCTTAAAAATCATATTAATATATTTTTTATTCAATTCATATTTTACATATTTAATAAAAGAATTCTAAATTGAAAACAAAAAAAAAAAAAAAGGAAAGAAAGGAGAAACCTTTGATCCAACGGCATAATATGTGTTACAGAGCCTGACAATAGCAAATTGCAGATTTTTTTTTATTTAAAATATAC